TTAGCGGGTTTACAGGAAGCAAAGATACCGCAAGGTCAACTTCAACACTTTTTTCGCTTTAAATTAAAATGAGAAAATCAGCTTCGCCTTGGAATAGAGCCATCTCTACGGCACTGAAGTATTTTGGTCGCACAATGTCGAATTAAACTCGAGTTTAAGACTTTTAACTATTTAGTTTTTCCAGTATACAAGTGAGCCTGGAATTGGTGAATATGTTGTTCGTGACTTCTTGTTTTGTTTTGAAAATAACTTTAATTCATTCTGACCTTTGATGGTCTGAGATATGCAACACCTGTTATATTCTGGGATACCTAAGACTTTCCAAAGAGCTTTCGGGATCTGTAGTCTTAAAGACTGAAACCAGCAGGTTTAAAGAAAGCAAAGATATCGCTTTTGGCCTGTTATGTTCCTGCCGCGTACAACATCTACTCAAGGTTGCAACATTGTACGTGTTTCGTAGTAAACAGGATTTGCCTAAGGGAGTCTATATTGTAGTGATTGCGCCAAAAAGGACAAACGAAAAAAAAAATGGTAATTGAGATAATTATAGATAACTCTATTGGGATTAAATTTATGACCGCATGACCACCGATGCTTGTCTTCATATAGCTACAGTTTTGAACCTTTTATAAACGTTAAACGTCCATTGAGAACTTTATTAGCAATATATCACAGCCAATTATGTCAAATGTTTCGTCGTTTCTAACATTATCATTATCGAGGGACAATGACACACTGCTTCTTTGGTGTCTAATTACCACATATGGAAAGAGCCTTTGAGGTATTTCGTTTCGTATGCGGTTATTTAAAATCTTCCCGACTTGCTAATTCAGCGCATTTCGCGGTTTCGGGAAAAAAATTGATGCGAAGATCAGGAATGCGAGAAAAGGCAGAGTTTTTCCTGTGCCGTTCAAAGGTGTATTAAAATGTCTTTCCCAAACTTATTTTAAGCTTATTTTTTAGCTTGTAACGGCAAAGCTGAATCGCGACGCATTGAAAAGTTCTTACTGAATTATATCGATAAGCTGGTGGTGCCTTTTATGATGGTCGACAACTACATATCTATTCTTATGATGAGTCAAGCATTTGGTTTCTCATAAAAAGAGTTTAAAATGACCAGATTTGGACGGTCCTTCTATTGATACGAATAATCAGAAACTTTGATAACAAATTTACAGGTAAGGTATTCTCATTTTTTTTGAACTGAATGATGCACTGCATCCTGTATTGGGAAAACCGGTTTGATCGAGAATAACCTGTTTTGATGCGTCAATCATCCATTGTTATTTGCCTCGCTTTTGCTTTTTAATTGATACACCCAAGCCCAGCATAATCAGTTGAGCAAGTCAGTAACAGTGTGAACTACTACAGCTTACGAGTCTTTGAATTCCTTTTTGCAAGAAAGTCTTCCTGCGAGCTCTACATGGCTTCATCTAAGCTAGTAAGTGACTCAGTCCTGAAGTTAACCAAGGGTTCGATTAAATACTGTCTCAAATTTTTTTATTGAGGAGCTAAAGCTATAGCATTTGATGTTCAATCTTTGTGACTCTCCCTAAACACTATCTTTTCTAATTAGAATATTGTAGTTTTTGAAACTCTTTTATCCTGAGGAAATATAACCAGTGCATGTCACTTCTGATGCTAAGTATCCTAAAAGTGAGTGACGAATGACGATGTTATTATTACTGTCGTCCATTGCATTTTCGTAGGATAGAAAAAAAAGCAGTAATCACATTGAGAATGAGCTCTTTAGACCACTAATAAAAGCGAAAAAGAGAAAGCTAAGTTCATGAAAGCAATGTTTTCTCCCCGTTATTGAATCAAATTTTATCTCAAATGATGAAGTGCGAAATGTGGAAAACCTAAACTATTCCGTTCCCTCGCATGACTTCAAGAAACAGTAGATTGAAGTGTCGTTCTTGTTCTTGATTACATTAGAACTATCAGAAGTAGAATGTAAGATATGCCTCAAGTTAAGAAAATGATAGAGTTGTTCAAATTGTAGCCATAGAATGTTGCAAGCCCACAGTTTTTGTCTGGCAAGACGTTGTCTTTATCACAAAAAATAATATCTTGATTTGTCGCCAGTTTTGTTTTTCGTCTCGCTCAGTCATTCGCATAAAAGGAATATTGTTATTTAATCTATCGCTCTTATGTAATACAGGCACAGCGTATTTAGGAGATGAAATCACTATAGTTGATCGTTTAAGTTTTTCATTTGAATGAATAAACTGCCTTTTGATTGGTAACTTGTCGCGTTGGTTATGTTCCAGCCGCGTACAACATCTACTCAAGGTTGCAACATTGTACGTGTTTCGTAGTAAGCAGGATTTGCCAAAGGGAGTTTATATTGAAATGATTGCGCCAAAAAGGACAAGCGAAAAAAAAGCAACGAAGAAAGACTCAGGTTAATTGAGATAATGGACTCTATTGGATTGAGTGGTAAAGAATTTGAATTTGTGACCGCATGACCACCTATGCTTGTCTGCGTATAGCTACAGTTTTGAACCTTACACGAAAATTAGCGCCCATGGAGAGCTTTAGTAGCAATATATCACAGCCAATTATGTCAAATGTTTCGTCGTTTCTAACATTATCATTACGGAGGGACAATGGCACACTGTTTCTTTGGTGTCTAAATGCCACATATAGAGACAGTCTTTGAGTTATTTTGTTTCTTACGTGGTTATGTAACTATCTTCGAATTTAAAATCTTCCCGACTTGCGAATTTAGCGCATTTCGCGATTTCGGGATAAAAAAAATGATGCGAAAATCAGGTATGCGAGATCAGGTGATGCGGAAAAGGCAGATTTTTTCCTTTATAGTTCAAAGGTGTATTTAAATGTCTTTCCCAAACTTATTTTAACGACAAAGCTGAATCGCGACGCATTGAAAAGTTCTTTCTGAATTAGATCGATAAGCTGGTGGTGCCTTTTATGATGGTCGACAAATATATATCTATTCTTATGATAAGTCAATCATTTGGTTTGTCAAAAAAGAGTTTTACATAACCAAAATTTGGACGGTCCTTTTATTGAAACGAATAATCAGAAACTTTGATAACAAATTTACAGGCGTTGTAAAAAAATTGCTTAGGCATTATCACGTTTTTTGAACTGAATGATGCATTGCGCCCTGTGTGGGAAAACCTGTTTGATCCAGAATAACCTGTTTTGATGCGTTAATTATCCATTGTTATTTGCCTCGATTTTACTTTTGAATTGATACACTCAACCCCAGCATAATTAGTTGAGCAAGTCAGTAACAGTGCGAACTACTACAGTGACTTTGAATTCTTTTGCAAGAAAGTCTTTCTGCAAGAAATTTAAAGCTCGACATGACTCAGTCTTGAGTTCAGCCGAGGGGCTCGATCAGATACTATCGCAAATTTTTTTGTTAAGGATCTAGAGCTATAGCGTTTGAGGTTCAATCTGTGACACTCCCTAAATACTATCTTTTCTAATTAGAATATTGCATTTTTCGAAACACTTTTATCCTGAGGAAATATTACCAGTGCTTGTCACTTCTGATGCTAAGTATCCTAAAAGGGAGTGACAAATGATGATGTTATTATTACTGTCATCCATTGCATGGTCTTTGTAGGATAGAAAAAAAGTAGTAATCACATTGAGAATGAGCTCTTTGGATGACTTACAAAAGCGAAAAAAAGCTAAGTTCATGAAAGCAATGTTTTCTCGCCTTTAATGAATTAAATTTTATCTCAAATGATGGAGTGCAAAATGAGGAAAACCTAAACTATTCCGTTCTCTCGCAAGGCCTCAAGAAACAGTAGATTGAATTGTCGTGCTTCTTCTTGATTTTATTCGATGTAGAAATCAAGTTGCTAGTATTGTATTGGCTTGACAATTCACTTTTCGTTTTCGTCTCTTCAAATCAAAGCTGTTGACGCCATGGTTGGTCTTTGCAACCTGTTTGAGTGGCATCGCGGCCCACACAACCTTAAAAAATTAAATAAGAACTTTCCTTTGCATACCTTTAACTATCAAAAACATATATACAGGGGAACTAGCTAGAAGACAAAGGCACAGGCCTCATTGGAATCCATTGATTTTCCAGAAGTAACCTAGTACATATGAAGTTAATTTAGTTCATAATTTCCGCTATTAAATCATAAAAGCAAACAAACAGAAGATACGCCCCAAGTTAAGAAAATGATAAGGTCGTTCAAATTGTGGCCATAGAACGTTGCAAGCCCGCAGTTTCTATCTGGCAAGACGTTGTCTTTATGACAATGAACAATATCTCGATGTGTCGCCAGTTTCGTCCTTCGTCTTGCTCAGTCATAAGCCCAAAAGGAATCATGGTTATGTAATCTATTGTTCTTATGCAATACAGACACAACGTATTTATAAGATGAAATTACTATAGTTGACCGTTTTAGTTTTTCATTTTAATGAATAAACTGCCTGTTGAAAAAACTGAGCTTAATCAGTTAAACTCAGAACTTTCTATTTCGAGCGATTAAAGTATTTGAGCAACACACTTCGCCTTATAATTTTAATTGTAGTGGGAGCTGATCGAAAAGTCCAAGAAAAATCTATACTCTACAGTCACGAGATGTCAACCCAGTCAGCCATGTGGAAATGAATGTACTTGAGAGAATTTGGAAAGTCCAAAACAAAAAAACCTTTTTACCTATGCAGTAACTTAAATGTGAGACACCACAGAAATATTGAAATCGTTGAGGACTCAAGAAATAGATTAGGAGACCCTAAATGGTGTGCATTACTTCAAAACTGTCTTTTTCTGGCCACAAACGCAGTTCTCGGTCGCTTTGTAAGCATGACTTTGAAAGTCAGTTTGGGTCAATCGTATTCTCGCTAACCTCACAAATATATTGTTCTGGCAGCTATGATGTGCTAAATGTATGGCCCCAAATGGTAAATGTTTTGGATTCCGGCCGTCATAAATAAGGAAACGCCTCGTTGAGCCTTGGTTTTCCGTTTTTCTTTCAACCTTTTAGAAGTCAGACGTCACCGTAGATTACATATCGAAGCACTGCCCAGCATTTTTCGGTGGTGGCTGCCCATATGCCAAGCTTGCCCAAGAAAAGAAAGGCGTCTGTGCCAAATGTCCTCCTTTCAACAATGGTTGCCCTTTCAAACAATGCAAGACCGTGGGTGAGCTTCAAGACATGATGGGTCAGATGCGTGACCAGTCCAAAGGCGAAGCTCAATGGATCGAGTTTTTGAAGGATGTCGTCTTTCTTAGTAAGGAAAAAAAGGAAAAACACGTAGAGCACAGAACTCAAAGCCTATTCAAGGGTGGCTGCCCCTTTGCCAAAGACACTGCAGGAAAGGAGATTTTGAAACCTGCATACATTGAAGTGAGTAATTTCGGTTTCAGAATGAAAATATTAAATGGAAACCATCGATAAAGAGCTTTCTAACGTATTGCTTTGGTGCGGGAATTTCTTTTCGCTCCCTAGTTTTTTTTAAGCAATTCCAAACAATTGTCACTGTATAGTGTTTTTTCCACTTTCATAGCAAATCTCGAAACACGAATCATTCTACAGAATCTATAACCTGAAATAAAGAAAATTGTGACTAGCTCACGTCTGATTTATTTGAGCTGTTGTGTACCGGTTCCCAGTGAATATTCTTGTTTCTAGTTCAACTTTATATCCGCTTGAACCTGCAGTGTCCATATTCTTTGACGGTTGAAGAGATCGTCAAGAAGTGTCCAGTTTTTGGTGAAGGTGTGTGCCCATATACAGGTCTTGTTGATGAAATGAAAGGAATCGCCGAAAACTGCCCTGGTTTCAAAGACGGATGTCCCTTCAAGAATCTGACAACCATGGGTGAGTACGCGGGCAAACTGGCCGAAATGCGAGATAAGACTACCACTCCAAAGGGTCGGGCTGCATTCGAGAAGTTGATAAAGAGGGTTCATGAGATCTCCAAGGAGGCTGAGAAGAAGGCTGGACCTTGGCCATTCCCTCCAGATACCTGCCCAGTCTTTGCCCGTGATGCACATGGAAAGGGCATCATGCCAAAATACAATTAGGCTTCCTCACAGTGGAAGAAGAAGGATCTGACTGAGCCAACTAGCGTATAAGTAGATTTTTTTCAGAAGTGACTTTTAGTTCCATTTCGGTGTCTTGTTTAAGGGTAGCTTCAGTCAGTTTCCTCCCGATGTTTTACCTTTTAGATATAGGTTTTGGTGTTGGGATCTTTATTGGTTGGGAAAGAAGCCTAGCTCGGTACATGATGAGATGATGAGATAGGCATCAAATTATCTATGGAGAGTTCCCGCTCATTCAGCCGGGCTGTAACGACCCCGTTCCTTCGTGTAGTGTGTATGGAATTGCCTGAGTAAGTGATGCTACTTTGTAGTATTTTGTTATATGTGTTCCTCGCTACTAGATGTTTCGGTGTTGGGCTTTTATTGAAGAGAGTTTTTTTACTTATTTGGCAATAAACAACTCCCCTCCCGGTTTTCAAAGAATTTATCCTATAACGAGACTAACGTAGGAATTTTTAGGCCATTCTTTGGTCATATTTGTATCTGATCTTGTCTTCAAGTGCAGCTTCAACACAATAACAATATTCAACCTTTTATCTAGGAATACAATAACAATAAAGCTCTCATCTTTGGGGTTTTAAAATGATTGTCACGTTCAGTTTGTGGTGATTTAACCTCGATAACTTATTTCTGCATGGGGTTCTTAGAGGAAAATTAACATGAAATTATATCAGTATGTTTTTATGTGATGGCGGCTACTCGCCATCTCAGTTGTAATCAAGTTCGCATACATTATTGAACATATCCTTTATCTTAAGGTTACTGTCAACAACATAGGGTCCCTTCCGGAAAAATCGTCGCACGTGTGCTGCTTTTAAAGAAACCACTAAGAATGCTATGGCCTTCCATCACCGCCAAAGTTAAATTGATCAATTTTTATTCAAAAATACACTCATTAATTGTACTTTGCAATATTAACTGTAAACTTTCAACTTGTGATTCAAACATTTATATAAGCCCTTTGAAATCCAATTAGAGCATTTAATAATGTGCTCTAAACACACAAATAGTCAATTAGAACTTTCAATTAATCAGGTTTAACCAAAGGCCGCCCAAGCTCCAATTGTGAGTTGATCATCTTGCGAAATAAGAGTCATGGCGAAATTTTCAGAGTTTGTATGGGAATATTTCCGACCACTCTAAGGAATATAAAAATCAGTCAAATTCTCACAAAAAATACCTCACCTTACTTCCAAAATGCATTGCTTGTTATCTGACAGCTTACTACATTGAAGGGAACCCATTTTAGCGAGTTATCTATTTCGAGGTTTTCTACATACATAAGGGCTCTTCTTATTAAACTTGACAACCGACCGCTAAATACAGGGTGACTGCTAAATACGGCGCCGCTTAATATAGATTTGACTGTAGGCTAAACGACAAAACGCATAGGAAAATTAAATACAAAAAGTTTTTACTATCATAATTCGTGCAGTGCTGCTCATCAGTTTAGTTTCATTTTCGTACAGTGTTTTTCGTTTCCTTTCTGGAAGAATATAAGGCAGTTTACATCTCCAGTAAATTAAATAAATTTTGCATATATTTCAAAGGCTAGGGGTAGTTTTAGCGAGAACTATTACCAGTTAAGTCATATTTTGAGATACTCGCAAGATAGAGGGCTATTTTAATCGGACCGACATTAAAGATTCATCCTTTAGAAATTGTGTACAGGGTAGGAACTTCATTGCTGATCCAGATATGATGTAGTGGAAATTACAAGTTGAATAAGTAAGTTTTATCCCTTGTTGTGTTCGGAGAAATAGAAGTAAAAAACAATTTTTATTTTTCGTTCATTATTAAAAAGATCCTTATCATAAACCTTAACCACATAGTTTCCCGTAGGTCATACATTTTCTTTGTGCTTTAAATAATACTGAGTGGTTTTAGTTTCAAGCAGCCATCATGTCTAGGAGTTTTCATTTAAAGTTAGAAACCAGGTACATCATACAGCATAATTGTCATAATACTTAAAATTTGTCCGTCGACACTTTTAGCGACTCTTGTTTACTTCTTCTCAAGAGTTTGGGTCGGATATGGGTAGTAAAAAATGACAGAGGAAACTTTGCTTTTGAAAAAAGTTTTCAGCGGAGTTTTCGTCCTCGAGAAACTATTTAAAGCGGAATTTTAAAACGATGCTTTGAGGCTGAAACTGGTATCGTCTTTTCAAGCAAAATCAAAGAAACCTCCAATAATTCTTAGTTGCAAATTGACAGTGAGACAATCTGATATATACTGGGCTTTACTGATAACCATATAACTGTGTTGTTTATTAGCATTCGCGCGGATCAAAGAGTTTCGCCTTTGCTGCAAATCATATTTGCCCGATTCCTCTAAAAACAATTCACTGTCACTGCCATCAGACACGATCTTTCCTCAGTTGGAGCGAGTCAAGTTCTGATTTAAAAACAAATAATGGTGGCCCGTCGTCAGAACGCTCAGAACGTCAGCTTTGAAGCTCTTCACGGTGGCTAATTTGCGTTTTCAACTCGTAGATAATACTTAACAACCCTGTTAGAATCTCCAACCGACGCAACACCACAGTTTCTGTAGAATCTTACCCCCTTTATTCATGCTTTGAAACGCTAATGTTCGGTTTATACTTACAAAGAAGTAGGTCTGAGTTTTAACACCTCTCAATATTTTATTTCCTGGGCTGTAGTTAACACAACACAGTGTAAAGCATGTTTCCGTAGTGCTTTTGGTGATTGTCTGGCTCAAGAGGCAAATAATTGTACGAACCCGACAACTGACAGCTGTTTCTCGGCTACTGGCTGTTACATGTTTAACAACGGCTCTAAAGCAATTCTGAGCTTTGTTGCCCGAGGATGCATTGCCTGCCCAAGTGAGAAGCTTTTCTTATTGATTGAAATATCCGTTGACAGACTATTGTTTATTTTTTCCTTCAGTATAAGCGAGTTGTAATAAAATTAAGGATGTCTCTAAGAGGTTGCAGTGTTGTTATGTTAGCCTTTGATGCCTAGATCTTCAGAAATAATTCGGCCTTTGATGCCTAGATCTTCAGATATAATTCGGTTTTTTTTTTTTTACATCATATCCAAAGGAATATTCGTCAAAAGTTTGTTTGCACCAATCGTTCCACTATTGGTGTTTAAAGATATCGAAACCGTTTAGGGAAATTAAAAAAACTAATATTTTAACACAGTTGTTGGCTTTTACGACATACCACTGGTATATTTTTCTTATCTACTACAGCAGGGGAAACGGCGTGCAGCAATTTTAAAGTCCGGTTTGAAACTGAAACGAACTGGACCTTACGGGATTATTATAACATAATGTGCTTTCAAAGTCAGGGTCAGTAGGAAGGTCCACAAAACCAGTTGCTTTAGCTAGCTGAATAAGTTCAGGTTTGCAGTAAGTGGAGACTTAAACACCCTGGGCAGAACTGGTCATGGTAGAATAAGATGATGGAGAGCAGAAGGTTTAATACGTGTAGCTGGATGTAGCTTTTTCACAGAAAAGGTTTATTTGGCACTGGTAGCTTCTGGAGATTGAGTTGGCTTTTTCACAGTTGTTTTAGAGTACCAAGACAATGTTTTTGTATTTAAAGAAGCTAGATCTTGACCAAGTTGCTTGAATTCTGTAGCTTCAATTGAAGGTGATTAGAAGGAAGGATGAGTCTGTGATGTTTGTTTCAAAGCTTTGGTATATGAATTGCCACTGTTTTCTAGATCTATTGAAACAGAGGATGCTATATTCTCAGGGTGAGGAGCAGAAAGAGATTAAAATGATTTGTTTACATTACATTAAAGTGATTGGACACCTGCAACTTTTCGTCATATCTTCCTTTGTAGCAATTTGCGTTGTTTGCCCCGTGGCGATCCCAGAACCCTTTGCGCATAGCAGAGGGATCCAATTATTGGAAACTCATTCATTTCGCCATGACTCTTATTTTGCAAGATGATCATCTCACAGCTGGAGCTTGGGCCACCTGTGGTAGGGCAGGCATATGTTGGAAACATCGAGTTGAACAAACTATCAACGACTGTGAAACTTTGTTGATTTGAAACACGATTTATTTGAAAATACGAGGTAATTTAGCTAGATCTTCTTGCTTTCTATTTATGTGGTCGTCAGTTTTAGTATCTCTCACAATTTAATGTTTCTTTGCAAATTATGGAAACTACCTGCAGTGAACCTCAACACGACCTCGCCGCGGATCGCGTATCCTTTGTTCCGAGTGGTAAACATGCAGTCCACTTTCTGGTCTACATCAGTTCTCAATTTTTCCAAACACTGAAGTTACCTCTCCCCAGTGCGACCGGACTTTTTTGACGAAAAAGTTTCTATTTTCGGTTGCAGTTTCGCATTTCTGTTGTCTTTCTTCTCTTTTTTCTCAGAACAGTCGACACATTTCCTTATTTTTATTTTCTGAAATGTAAGTTGAAAAAATCAACTTTAATTTTGTTGAGGAAAAAAATTCGACCAAAGTTGGCCTGGGAAGGTTTTGAATTGATTTTCATGATCGATCTAGCTCTTTTTGATCAATCAAGTCTAGTCCCAGCAGTAATTAAATTCTGTCATTCGGCTCAGGAACATTACATATTAGAGAAGATTTTAAACAGAATTGATGCTTAATTGAACGATTTTGTTTATTGAGCATACAACCGAGAATTAATGCATACGCTGTACGTGTATTGTCTCGGTGTGTGAGACAATAGCAGTTTCACTCACAGGCGGTGACGGCCGCCCATAGAGATGATCATCTTGCGCAACAACAGTCATGGCGGAATTATAAGAGTTACTAACGACTAAATACAGGAATGGCTCCGACCTGTAATTGAATAATAAAAATAGTAAAAGTTAATAAGTTATATCTTAACTATTTGCTCGTGAGTATTGTTAACCGCGTGTCTCGAAGCGGAACAATGAAATATCCATGCGAATGAAAACACCGATCTGTCCAACAAGAAATGCTTACTTACGTAGCGAAGGGAAGGCAGCCTTTCTCGTTCAGCGAGGTCGTTCAGCGATATTCCGGCGATGAGAAAGCTGTCGGCCAACAAGCTCCGCTGACAAAACTCATTTAGTCAGTTCAGGCGGACGACCAGAGACCGGAGCCATTCCTGTATTTCACCGCTGACAGGAATAGCTCCGACTCAAACGTTTATTAATTTTTTTAAAATAATTTTTTAATAATTTTTTAAACAATAAATTTTTTTAAATTTAAAACTAAACTGGTGAGCAGCGCTGTGCGAACAGTAGTGTCGGTAAAATTTTCTTTTCCTCTGACGTGTTTCGTCCAACTGTCGTAACTTCTTCAGGGAGTTTTACAAGTTAACACTAAACGCCTATATTTATAAGCCATTGTTAGCGGCTATTGCGAGGGCCAACCTTCCACAAATCCAACGCAGAATCCAAGCACATATACTGTAGTTTCATTACCATTCACTGCAAACTCAATCTTCCCCGTGCAATCGACGCTAAGCCGCAGTTTGCTTCAAAAATTTCCACATCAACCTTGACACCGGCCAGGTAACCTTGCCTCCTTTTTAAACTTAGCCTCGCCGAGGACTCCACTGTAACTTGGCACCCGTGGTGCTAAGATAATTTCTTAATGCCCAGTTCCAGTGGGGTCCCCGGCGAGGCGACGGCACGGGGAAGATTGAGTTTGTAGTGAATTGAAATGAAACTACAGTATATGTGCTTGGATTCTGCGTTGGATTTGTGGCCGCCCGGTCATTTTGCGCTGGAATTTTTCGCTTCTCAGATCGGGCGTTCGGAAATGGAGTGTTCAGCCTTGGGCTTTTCTTATGTACGTTGAAAACCTCGAAATGGACAACTCGCTAAAATGCGTTCTTTTCATCAAAGTAAGCGGTCAGATAACAAGCAATACGCTGTATAAGTAAGGTGAGGTTTTTTTGTTGTTGAGAATTTGACGTATTTTTTTATTCCTTAGAGCGGTCGTAAATATTCCCATACAAACTCTTATAATTGCGCCATGACTGTTATTGCGCAAGATGATCATGTCACAGCTGGAGCTTGAGCCGTCTGTGTTTCACTTAGGGATGCTTAAACTTAGACTTTGGACCCTAACTTGAAAAGAACTGTCGGCTGGAGTCTTAAGAAAGACTGAAATAAGCTGTTTTACAGAAGACAAAGATAACACTTAGACTTTGGACACCTAAAGGAAAAGAACATTCGGCGAATTCTGGAGTGTCAAGAAAGACTGAAATAAGAGGTTTTACGGAAAGCAAAGATATCGAGTTACAGCAGGCTAATGCAGACATACGAGTCGTGACAAGTTACTTGTTAACTATTACTATCGTTGCACCACGTTTGGCGAAAAGCTCCAAGGACTTTCGACATGTTCTTTTGACTCTTCTTTAATCTCTGTTCCTAATCACAATCCAACTTACAAATAATTCACTTCACTCTGGGTAACTCTTGACGACTGACTCTAATCCTATCGATTTTAAGTCTTTCCTGAAATGAATAATTAACTCGTAGTGTGCCTCGATAACGTAACTCGGGAACTCCGGTAAACCGACCTTGAAGTCAAATTAGTTCAAGAGCCAAAGTCCAGCTTGGACTAACTCATCGATTCGTTGTTATGACCGGACATTTTGACGAACTTCCACATCTCCGTGAAATAACAGCATGCGGAGGTCCCGTCACCTTTCACTATTTGGCAATATTTACACACCTCCGTAAAATAACATCATCCCAGCTTATCCCTTTAACAGACAATTTTAGAAACATTCGCGCAGTTCAAACTCATTCGAGGGAACGAGAGGAGCGATCACACTGTGACTCTGTTAACTTTCTTGAAAGGAAAAGGGAAGCAAACAATTAGTATTTACTGCTTATCAATTAAGGTATGTTTTGCGCGATTTTTATACTTTGCTTTACCTACCACCCTCTAAATTACCCCTCATAACGAAAGAAAAGTAATTTTCCTTCTCTCCTTCTGAGGAGGAAATATATTTGTCATATCTGAAGTTGGAATTCAAGTGTACCACAAGAGCATTTCAGTAGGGTAACATAGTGGTCCTGAGTGACTGGCACCAAATTTCTCCTCATCACATCACCCCTGAATCAAACACTAAGGTCACAAGAATAAAGGAAGTTATTACCAACTAAAGAAGCTCTTGATTGTTAGACAAATTCTCCTTATCAGCACCTTGGGAAATGTTTGGAGAACAGTATTGAGAAAATGCACACTGATGTTAGGGTGTAAAGGGTTAATTGACTTGTGGCATCAATTTTACAGAAAGGCGAGCGTGAATCGGGAACTTATGAACCAGCGGGAAGCGTGATTCGCCTCCCAATATCGGAATGGCTAAGTTAATCATTACATATTTCATCAGAAATTCAAACAAAAATTACTCTTCCCTCGTATCAATATTGTCTAAATATATTTCTGAAAAAGCAGCGGCAAAAAAGCGACGATCTCTCGCCAAAATAGATTCTTGTGGGCGTCGAAACATTCTTCTCGAACCTTCACGCCCGCTTCCTTTGTGAAAACATATGGATCCGATTACTAGAAACTTATTCACTGGCCTCTATATTATTATCTTGTAATACCCCCCTCCTCCCCTAAAGACGCAGCACGGCAGCTACCCCCTATTAATCTTACTACATATGTATTAAACTTAAGAGGGGAGGGGAGGATGCGCAACACCCAACAGACAGGTTGCTAAAGAGACAACCATTGCCTTTGAAAATAACCAAATTTTAGATTTAAAAGCAAAATTTTAAAGGCTTTTGCGTCAAGCCCACGTGCTTGGCTATAGCGAAGTCAAAACTCGCGCATGGCTGTGCAGTAGATTACGTTTCCTGAAGCTCGTTGAGTGTAATAGAGACTTACGTCAATGGACGCTTCTCTTAAGTCATTTTGCGCCTAATTTTATTTACGTTTACGTTAAATGTATTTTTGTTTGTTACAATAACAATACTTCTAACGATACTACCCTGATAATCATCTCTGCAATTCGGGAAAGTTTGATTTTGTTCTTCTCAGTGACCGAGACAAAACATCTGCCAACATTATCAAGACAAAATCTAGTGGACAAGTGATGATAGCAAAGAAAAATATAAATTAAGGGATTGCTAGAAAATCCAATATCAAATTCTCCAAATTAACGTCACAAGAATCGTATGAAAAACAGTAAGGATAATTTCTAATGAGATCTAGGGATAAACAATAAATTGATGTTTGTTAATGTTATTATTTTCCAGAATGGCTACGCATACACATGTCGGTGGTTACAGAAAGTACTTTGGAACTCGATTTGCTGATCTGTCACCAGCCACAACAACAGAAGATCAAATCAGGGATGTATATAACGATTGGGCCAATAAGTATGATGAGGTGGGTTGATGATATCTATATTCATCCATTTCCTTATTTATCCATTCATCTAGTTATCTATCACACTATTTGAGTTTGTTCTCGTAGAAATAAAACTCGTTTTCTTAAGGAAACTTTTACACGAGGCCTCATTTTGTGTGAGGCTTGTTGAAACTTAAGAAAAATTAAAATATCAAATGCCTTTGCCTGCTCGAGTTGTTGGGTAATCAAAGCTGGGGAAGGAACTGGTCATAACGAACATGTAAGCTACTGAGATATCGACCACAGTTCCATGGTTGATCCAACAAACACTCCATTTCGCTCTACATCTTTTATCTTGAGTAACAGATCGCAAATATCATCGAAAGCTAGAGAGAACAAAGATATGGCACACGAGCCTGCTTGGGTCAAACGCGAAAAAAAAAACACTCGGATTTCCTTGAGCGATCAAACAAACTACGTCCAAATTTTTTAGACCGCGCATGTGGTGTATGATACGAGATCATTTTCATCTTCTGTGCTTTTATTGACAATGCGTCTTGACCAATAAAGGGCGGGAAAAGGAAATGGAAGGAATAGCTGTGACAACAGTGATCCGCTAGATATTTGAGATTATGGTTGTACTATAAATTTTGATTGCGAAATCCTGCGAGGAACAAAAAATATATCTATTTTACATTAATTTGAGTTTGGTGTGAGCTGTTTGTCAAAACATCTTTCAGGAAGTCGTGGTAAAAGCACTCTTGGTCTGTCATCGACCACAAGCTGAATGCTTAGACGCTGCCATCAAACAATACTTGAACAAACCGAAGGATGAAGTCAAGATTATCGATTGCGGGGCTGGCACTGGTCTGTGTGGAGTTGAGCTTCACAAACTCGGCTACACTCATCTGTGTGCTCTGGACATCTCACCTGAAATGTTGAATGAAGCAAGGAAGAAAAACGTCTACCAGAAATTCATCTGCGCTCCATTGAACTCTGATCAGAATCCTGAAGTTATAACTGGAGAATACGACGCCATGATCTGCATTGGTACGCTGGCTGCTGCGCATGTCAAACCAACAGCTCTGGTGGAAATGATTCGCATGATCAAGATTGGTGAGATTATGAATTATTCTTTTCTTTTGAAATTGGCAGGCGAGTGGGATTATTATCACAATGAAGGAGAAAGTAAGAATCAGAGATTTGCTTCTCTTTTCAGCCTTCATCTGCATCAAAAATCTAAGTTAGTGACCAAACAGTAAAAGAGAAAATATTGAGCGCACGCTCGCCAAAAACACGTTTTCCACTCGAATTCTGATTCAGTTGAAATATGTGATCCCAACAAATCCGTCATTGTCACGAGGAAATAAAATGATATCTCTTAATTTTAGCCCCCCCTTAAATTTACTTTTTTTCTGGTTAACCAAACTCCTGTTGCTGAGTAACCCAACCAGCCCTACTCTGTTCTCTACCACCAAATGAAGCTATAGGCTGCGTAGGTAAAATATCAAGTGGGAAGACCTGTCACTAGACCTTAGCGGGCATTCAACGATGAATGCGACATAAAAGCTAAGTAATCACTCAGAAAGAGACGATTTTATCAAAGACACAATAAGAGATATTTTGTCAGGGGCGAATTTATAACGTTATACAAAAACTAGGAGACTCTCATGAGATCAATTCTGGAACTGTCTTTTTAAGATTAATATGCTTTATGGCTTCCAAACATCATTCATCTGAAATCACACCACCAACTTAACATAAAGGGTCTCACAAGAAGAGTGAGTTAATTAGATTCCTGAGAATTTTCCCACGAGCTTTTCAAGAAACACTCTGTTTGCCATTTGCATTCACCTGTTCTTTCGCCCAGTTTTTTCTTTCCGAACCTTAGTTATCACTTCTGCGAGGTAAATTGTTATATATAAAATATGAAAGTTACTTGAGGAAAGTAGGGGTCAGTGCTCGCAAGATTCAATATATCACCTCAAATCATTCCGTTTCCTTTTGTGTGTATATATTCAAATATTGATCTTTTTTTTTTCCTAAATCGTAGATGGTCTTCTTAGCTTCAACATTCGATTTGGTGAGCTTGAACGATATCAGCCAATGATGGAAGAATTGGAGAAAGAGGGAAAGTGGGTGAATGTTGTCAAGGACACGATTCCCCATTTCCAGACAGACGACATGCCTCAAACCTCGTCATTTTTTGTCTACAAAATCCTGAAGCATTAGTAAGACCACTAACTTGAACTCAACAAAATTTGATTACAATATTATTATATTATAATGTGCACCGTATCACACTTTGCGGTTGTATTAAGCCTTACAAAAACAAGAAATAAATAAATTACAGGAAACGTGTTATTTCTTGTATTTTGATAAGAGAGGGTGCATGGCCGGAATTTGACTCTCCTGTAAGGATCAGGGATAATATTTTGATCGAGTTCTTTCCAAAAAAGAGACTCTGATTGCTTGTAGAGGTTTTGATTCGCCCACGGCAGCAGAACGTCCGGAATTTTTACCCTTGGCTAAACAGAGCTTTAAAAGCGGTCCACCTGTATTATGCAGTCACCCCACCTTTTCCCATTGGTGATCGCTTAATACAGGTTAAACTGTTTTCCATACCTAGTTATTCGAAGTCGGCTTTTATTGTGCAACGTTAAAATTTCGTTGTTATAAACATTCGGAAGCTTAGTAAGGACGTCTTTATCCCAGTCTCAGTCACAGCGGTATCATTCAGAACGCCACGCTTTCCATTTGCACAATCACCTCGCAGAATCCAAGACTTGACATATAAACAGGAAAGTTTCTCTAGGCATGTCATCGCTTTCAAAAAATGGCAATGACCTTTTTGAGATTAATTTCCACGATCCCAATGACTCTAATTCCGATATCTTCTCTTGATAGTCCTCTAGTTGCCCATCTCGGATGTTGAAACACACCAGACCACCTGAAAATAAGCAAAACGTGCAAAATCTTAAAGTTTATAGCTTATAACCCTTCAACCTTAAGCTTCTAATTTCTTTCAACAATACCGTCCCTGAATCAAACAATACGGATATGAGAATAAAGGAAATGATCGAGAACTGGAGACGACCGACGAATTCTCCTTGTGTGTAACATGTGAAATGTAGGGAGAAAAGTATGGAGAGTATGCATGCTGATCCTAGGAAAGGGGGGTGGGGTGGGGGAAGGGGGAAACAGGCGCGTTAGCAAACGAAAAAAACTGGGGACTAAGCCTGTTTCTATTGAGGTTTTGTTTTCGCTTTTGTTGTCGTTTCTGCTGATGTTGGTTGCTCCGGTGGTGCTGCTACCACATGTTCATCCCGATTAAAGTAAGATGAAAACATACTACAAAAATTGTAAACACAAACTTTTTGATTCAGATATTGTGAAAAAAATTTGACATGTTTTGTCAAATCACTAGTATTATTTCACAATAATTTCAAGTGTCGAACTTTTTTCATAATTTGAGCTCGAGTGCTAGACGCACCAAACAATCGATGTCAATATTGTATCATTTGTAGCTTTCAATTGCCGTAATCCTTTGTTTAATTAGCTTATAAAGCCCTTATTAACTGAGTTCGAGGTCCCCATCTACGAACTGAGAGATAAAATAAAATTTGTTACAATTGTTATCTTCCCTTGTTTGTTTGTTTGTCTACTCTTCGTTTTTGTGATAAGTATTTGGAAAAGGCGGAAGTAAGCTTACCGATTTTTATTATTCTGATCATCTCTATGAGCGCCGATGGACCGATGTGTCCTACAAGCATTGAGCCCCCACAAATCGAAGCATCAAATTCTTCTGGTGCAATTTCAGGATTTGGCCTGTCACTTAAAGAGGAACATATAAACTTTGTGTAGACGTTTTTTTACTTTGCTTCATCTAACATTTCTGGTGAAATATCCAAAGCACATAGATTGGTGTAGCCGAGTTTATTTAGTTCGACTCCAACCAGTCCCGTACCAGCTGCGGCGTCTATTATTTTCACGTCATCTTTTTCTTTCCCAGCGAGAAATCGCCGAATGGCTTCATCCAAAGACTCAGCCAGTGGCTTGTGGAAAATTGCGCGTGCCACAACAACAACATCCTGAAAGTGAAATTTGAACACAAAACTCAACCTTATGTAACATAGTAGACGTAAGGGACAAGAGCTTGAAGAAACTCACTGAGAGGAAGGCACTAAGAGTCTTGGAACACGTAACCTCCTCCTTTAATGTACCATTGCCTTGCTGCTACAGCGTCAACAGTTTTTCCTGTCCCTTTTCTCACCTTTCACTAACTTGAAATATACGATTGAAATATTCGATTATACGAAAGCACGTGATCGTCGCACGAAAAAGGCACTAAAGTGAGGTCCGGCTAAACATATACACATTTAATTAGTTTGGAAACTAATATTATATACATGAACTAGTTCAGTGATTACCTTTTCATATTCCTTTGCCCAGTCGTCATAAATTTGTTGAATTTCGTTCTCTGTCGTTTTATGAGAAAGATTGGAAAGTCGACCCCCGTAACACCTTTTAAAGCCTGCTTGGTAAGACTTTGCAGCCATTCTAAAATTAAATAAAAATACATGAAACGAACGAATGATTGAAGGGTGGATGAAAAGAAAAGAAAAGAAAAATAAAACATAAATACATTAACCAGTGTATTTTAGGTGATCATAGACATATTGTGCTGCGTAAAAGGGGGGTATAACAAGATAGTTTGCTTTAGTATATACAAAAACACTGGATAGCGTTGAAGGCGCGCTCTGATTGGCTGCTCAAACTCCAAATATCCTTTGCTTTTCACCTCCGAGCAACGCGCGGGATTTGTACCCAAAAATATAACAATTGTTTCAAGAAAAAAGGAGTTAAAATCATCTCCTGTGCTTAATTATCTCACTGTTTTATCATAAACTTAAACAACTATTCACGTCAGTGTCAGTGGCTAGCGGTTGATATTTACCTCGCTGCATCGCAGCTCGGTTAATATCCACCACTAGCCCCCTCCATTTCGGTGAATAGTTGTTTTAAAGCTATCAACTTAGTTAATAATGTGATAAGGAGGTGTCAGGAGCCGGCAAGGCGTGAAACGACCGAGGGTTCTTCTATTGAATATATCGGATATCGGATGCCGCAGCACAAGCAAAATGGCTGCAGAGTCTCATTCACAGGGCATCAACCAACAAATTGTGTTAAGCTTTTTTCGATATTCTGATTGGTTGTCTAAACAAGTTGCTAAAAAGATGCGAGAAGTGTTGCGTAAAAGGACACCACGAGAGAAATATTTTAAATATCAAAATTTCCCGACACAATTTCGTTTTTTATTATTCCAGGAATGTTTCGGCGAAATTTGGCGAGAATCGGTCGATCTAAATACCCTATAACTTCGCTCAAAGTGAATGTATTCCTCCCAAAATCAAATACAGCATCTTAGCTTATAAAGGTTCGTAAACAACTCGCTACACGCCAGGATACTATCTCGCCTCCTGAAACCGCAAACTAATAGGAAAACGGGACCTCCTGTCGTCAATGACGATGGATAAAGACTTCTCGGCAGAAGTAACCCATGGCAGACACGTTTTTTGTCTCGATCGCTCAGTGGAGCGGTAAGGAAGAACGCCACAATAATGGGCAAAGTTGCCAAAGGCAAACGAAAAACTTGAAGCAAAAATGAAAAAATCGGAAAATGTGCTGAGGGGCAAGACAACGAATCAACATACAGCTCCCAAAATTACGATTCGAGGCGATTGTTGATGTTTTCGTATCAAGGCTGGTACTTGCATAAATAAAAGCAAACCTCGTTTCAAAATTTGTGTTTGACATTTTGTTTTGTTCGTAATCTGGATGGCAGCGTGGAGCTCCGCCAGTACCAGTTGCTTTCACAAAGGACTTTTTTTTTTTACCAAGGGCTTTCTTCCGCTTTTGATTTTTTCTTGAGCAAAGAGTTTTCCATAAACAAAAAGTTTGCATTTGAATTTGTTATGTGCGCGATGCAAACTAAATATGCAAATAACATGAAAAACGATCCGCAAGATGAGCAGAAAATTCCCTCAGGCGAACTTTATCAACTTATAACTCAAAGTACGTTTTTTAAAATAACTCGGGTGCTTTTCGGGATTTTAAACCTTTTTCTCTTGGAAACGTTAGGTAGAATATTTGAAGTCTGTTTAGTCAAATAAACATTATCATCATTTATTGAGACATTTGTATTTTAAGTTTTCGTTTTTCATTACATTGCGTGACAAGCGTGACAAGCATTACATTGAGTGATGTGACGAGAAAGATGGCGGAAATTATCTTGATCATACACGCATTAAATTTTATTCAAACATCTGTAACTTTGCAAAACAAAACAGCCGAACGTTCCGCTACGTGCTTTCCTTATCAGTGTAAAGGTTAGACGTTCTGACGTTGCAATCTGTGTTTGTGAGCCTTTCGCATTCCTACTATTCAGATAAGTTGGAAAGAGAAGATGTGCTTCGTTGCATTTCGAATGCTTGAATTGAAATAGTCACTAATCTGAACTTGAGATCACTGAAATAACATTATCAAGAATAAATTCCTAATTTTTATATCCCAAGAAAGTCCACAAGGATAACGTAACTGTTCACATTCTTTAGAAACAGATGCGGAAATAAAATTCGACGATAATTTGTTAGGAGATCTATTAACCGTTGTCCTCGACGAATATTTACCTACGTCACAGACTGTCCAATCGTTCAGTATTGCGTCAAAATCCCTTTTAATTGAAGGCAAATTATTCAGTCTAGGATAACACATAATATTCGATCTTTCTATGCCTTTCACTATGATGAAATATCACTGAATCAAACTTACCAAATGCGTCTTATTATTCCTCTCGCAACGACGCTGCCGCAATTACGACTCCTAAGAGCACAGGCAGACAACGCTGTGATTTGAGGCCGCGTGACGTCAGTTATTTGATACGCTTGTTGAACACAAAAGCCCTTTCCTTTGTACCGAAATGGGCGACTCTCTAAAATGGGATCTTTTCATCAAAGTAAGCGGTCAGATAACAAGTGATACGCTGTGGAAGTAAGGTGAGGTATTTTTATTGAGAATTTGACCTATTTTTTAATTCGTTAAAGCGATAGTAAATATTCCCATACAGGCTCTTGTAATTCCGCCATGACTGTTATTGCGCTAGATGATCATCTCACAGCTGGAGCTTGGGACGCCTGTGATTGAACTCTTACATTATTTGTAATTTGCAACAGTTGATCTCGGCAAAACGCAACTGATCCCGAGAAATGTTTTATAAATTCGCAAATCGAAACATTTCATCCCCAACATCCGCTTCATGACAGTCAGATGAATAAAGTTCACATACCTTTGTTTTTCTGTGTTGTCTAGAGTGATTTTGGAGGAGTTTGCAAAACGGTTAATTCCCCACTTTCCACTGCTGCCCCTCCAAAGGCAAAGGAAAAACACAAGGCGTGCAACTTCCAGGACCGTCTGGGCCAAAAGCCTCTAGAACTTCGCCGAATTTCTTCCGCTTCCAAATGTCGCTCACCTCCCAGCTTCGGAAACATTAAAAGTCGATTAACGTGTTAGAGCCAAGCCAAAAATCTGTGCAATTGACCGCCTCTAACCACCTCAAAAGCCTACTCGATTTCCGACATTCGCTCACCATCTTGCTGAATTTATGAAACATTTCTCGGGATCACTTGCGTCGACATTCGCTCTTCGTCTTGCCGAATTTATGAAATCGTTTCAAGTGATTCCGAGAAATAGCATTTCTTGGGATTACTTGCGTCTTGCCGAGATCGACCGTTGCAAATTACAAACAATGTAAGAGTTCAATTAGCGTATTAAATAACTGACGTCACGCGGCCTCAAAGCCACTGGGTTGTCTGCCTATGGTAAGAGTCATTACGGGAGACAGCAATACCCCGTGTGGGGTAGTGAGGGGTTGGATGCGTCCCTGTCCTTCTGAACAGATCGACTCACTTGCCAACGCGTGATTCCGACGGAGCAAAAATGTTTCCGAGTTTGTTTTAATTTTGAGCGTTTTCATACAAAATTTACATCAGAATAGGAGGTCATGAATTTAACATTTACGAATCCCTCTAACCAGTAATAGGTCCACCAAGAGAAAAAACTGCATACAAAGTATGAGCTTGCAAGGACTTTTTATTTTGTTCCAGCTAGGTTTGGAAAAAAATCGATCAAGATGTTCCACCTGATCGCTACATGGGAGTTACGTTTCAGAAATCAAAGGATTCTAATTCACAGCACCCTATCGAATTGAAACAGAAGAAATATCACGTTTCCAGTAATTTGTTTTTGTTTTCCTTTTTGTGAGGTTTAATACAGCTGCTACGTATGACAAGGTGCACATTAAATAATGATGATATTGTAATCACATCTTGTCGAGTTCGTCTATTATCTAGTTAGTGGTCTCACTAATGCTTCAGGGTTTTGTAGACAAAAAATGACAAGAAATGACGTGGTTTTAGGCATTTCATCTGTCAGGTGATAGGAAGCCGTTTCCTCGACGACGTTTACCAACTTTGATACAGTTCAAGCTCACTTAATCGAATATTGAAGCCAAGAACACCGTCTATAATAAAAAATAGATATATTTGAATTGGTGAAATAAGTCAATTCACACAATTTGGGGTGATATACTGCAGTGAACCTCGCCAAAATTACGCTTATGAGCCCTTACCCCTTCCTGCCTCAAGTCATTCATACAATAGTGTGCATAGATATTTCCATCTATCCCTGTAGAAGCAGCACATGTAGCTAGGGCTCAGAAAAAACTCGGCGAAAGAAAGGGCGAATGCGAAGACGAGCTAAAATTTATGTGCTTTGTGAAAAGCTCGAGGAAACATTCCGAGAAATATAATGTCCACCTACTTCTCTTGCGTGACCTGACACGTACACTTACAAATACCCTTAACGAGACGATGCGTTTCTTGTTTTTTCTCTCTCACAAACAGTTCCTCGGTCTCACAATTCTCGCACATGGTCAAGTCCCTATATGAAAGTAACTTATGCACGGTCCTACCCACAAGGAAGAGGTGAGCTAAAAACTCTCGTACAAGACCTTCTCACTTTGATGGTGTGATTTCAAGGGTATAATGTCTGGGACCCGTTTTGAAATACCATAAAATAACAGTCTTAATGTAAAACTCTCGAAATTTTTTTTTCATAGGAGTCACCTAGTTTTTGCATAACGTTGTTAATTAACCAAGTTCTTAACAATAAAAGCTAAGTTTTTCGTTTGTCTCACGATGTAGTCACGTGTGATGTAGATCGCGACGTTTCGACTGCATACTGCTAGTCTTCTTCGGGCGCTGAAAATAGAAAATAATCTCCAATTATTTATAGTTCTTCCAGCCTTATGATCAAGAGCTAATAAATCCAACTAGCCTCCAAACTGGAGGCCAAGTTTGATAAGAAGTTAAAATAAATAATTCAGAATCTCACCAATCTTGATCATGCGAATCGTTTCTGTTGTGTCGTCTAGACTCAATCAAGTTACTCCTTTCATTGCTATTGCTCAACTGAACTTTATTAAAGAATCAACAAGCTATATTCACAATACAATACTAGGAATCAGTAATACTACTTTTACATAGGAATGTACTTTTACAATCAAGTACCGATCGTGTCTTACAGGATATAGCGTGACTATAGTAACGCTTAGGTAACGCAATACACTACAGTTTCCACCAGAGCAGTTGGTTTGACATGCGCAGCAGCTAGCGTAACAACGCAGATCATGGCGTCGTTTTCTCCTTTCTTAACTTCAGGATTCTGACCAGAGTTCAGTGGAGCGCAGATGAATTTCTGATAGACTTTGTTCTTCCTTGCTCATCTAACATTTCAGGTGTGAGATGTCCAGAGCACACAGATGGTTGTAGCCGAGTTTGTGAAGCTCAACTTCACACAGACCGGTGTCAGCTCTGCAATCGATAATTTTGACTTCACCCTTCGGTTTTTCCAAGTATTGTTTGATGCCAGCGTCCAAGTGTTCAGCAAGTGGTGAATGAACGACACTTACGACCACTTCCTGAAAGATGTTGGGACAAACAGCACACACCAAACTCAAATCGATGTCAATTGAATATCTTTTCTGTTCCTTGCTGGGTTTCTGAGTTATATTTCACCTAATGCACTACTACTCTAGCCGATCTAGTCTTAAATCTCTCGCTGATTGCAGTTGTTATTGCTAATGGTCATAATTTATTCTTGCAATGTATATTGACGCCCTTTATTGGCCAAGTTTATCGTCAATAAAAGTGCAGAAGATGAAAATGACTCCATTTCACACGCGGTCTAAGAGTTTGGACGTTCGTTGTTTGATCGATCAAGGAAATCTGAGTTTACTTTGTTTCGTTGACCCAAGAACATCACCTGTGGCTCCTGTACGATTCGTGAATAAATTGCACTGACGAGGGCCAACCAGATTGCAAGGATCACTAGTGATTTCAAAATGGATGAAATGGATATATACTAAATGGCAAACAGTCTGACAGATAAATAAATTCAATTCGTAGCTAAATTCAAAAACTTCAATGTGAACTTCCTTTTGTGGTGGGTCGTTACAATAGTCTAACTTTACAGGTTAGCAGGTTCTCCAGGTAAGCGGACTTAGAGACAGAAAAATGATATCAAAACAACTCCTTTCTCACTTCGATTCTGCTACAAAACTGTTTTGAAACATTATAACCTAACGCTTTTAAATCAATGTTTAGAATTAATGTCAATCGCGATTCTTGTCATTCAATAGATCTAACAATAAGAGGCAACGTTTACTTGATAAATGAAACATCTGCTTACCAAAGCACACGCCTTTCGTGGCACATCTACACCGAAAGGAACTGAGCTATTTTGGAACAGGTTGGTCCACGAACTCAAAGATGAAATAATAAAATGCCGTCAAACAAGCTCTCAACAGTTATTTTATGCATTGAAAAGCTTGATATTTCATAATATGCAAAACTGTCAAAATGAGCATGCCGAAGGTGATCATTAGAAGCCTGAAGACAAGAATCTGACGCATAAGTTTGTAAATGATTATGTAAACACCCTCGAGGCACAAAGAAACAGAGAGTGATCACGATCGTAAAATATTGCAAACGAGGGAAAAGGAAGCGCCTGTATCACAAATAATAAGTTTCGACCCCTTACATATATTTAGGCTACATCGAAAGGATAGGTTGTCGGAAAATGCAAAGTTTGCTGATTGTGTGTTGATATTCAGTAAAGTAAACGCATCTGGTCGCTGCATCACGAACAAGCTCACTACGTGTATAAGTACATTCCTAGGAGGAAAGTTTAAGTTAAATATGTTACATAGCAACATTAAACGCTAAAAATATTTGTAGATGCTTCCAAGAACGATGGAAACGATACCCTACTATATAAATAATTTACCTTGAAGTCAATGGTAGACTCGTTTCGTATCTGAAGAAAGGAAGCAAAACAAGGAAACAGAGCTCTAAATACAAGAGTTGAGAAATGAACAGTACCAAAAAAGTTTCCTCGTACTGTTGTTCAGTTGTCGCAAATGCTAAATCTTCACCGGGTTCTAATCTCACTGTTAAACTACGAGCCAAGTGGAAAAATACATTTCAGTTGTATTCCATTTTTTAAGCATGTCCTGAGGCCATAATTAAACGCTCCTTAGAGCTACCTCATAGTATATTTTAATTAAGTGGTGAGAATACTGCGTGACGTACCCTTAATTAAATAACCACTTGATTTACATTAAATTTAAAAGCGTTCGCCGGATGGCTATGGGTATAATTTTAACCCTTTAACTCCCAAGATCTCATTAGCAATTCTCCTTACTGCCTGCCTACGATTTTCATCTTATAAGTTTGAAGAACTTGGTATCGCATCAATTAGTAATCCTATAATTGATATTTTTCTTTATTCTCATCACTTGTCTGCATGATATTGTGTAGATATAGTAAGGAGAAATTTTGTCTCGGTCAGCCACTCCATCTCCTTCCAATATTACGTGACGCACTCCTAAATTTCAGGTTGATTATTAACTTTGAAAGCGGTTTGAGGTTTCAGGTAACCCTTTACACCCTACCATCAATAAGCACATTTCCTGAGATGGTAACAAGGAGAGTTTGTATAGCAATCGAGAGCTTCTTCAGTAGGTGATCAGTTCCTTAATTCTTGTCATCTTGATGTTTAAATATGGGTTGATATTGTAGGGAGAAATTTTATGCTGGTCACTTAGTTAGAGGCTACAGGGTTAAACGTATATTTTAAAGTATGGCAGCCAAACAGTCGAAAAATATCGGAGAAAGATACGCGGTCAGTCCAAATCTCCTAAATTCCTACGTTGCTGTCTCTGCAATAACCTTGATCCTGGTCACGGCACCACAAATGTACCGAGCTTATGGGGTGCACTCTACTCTCAGTCGTCAAATCCTTGTTTTATTGTTTATCGTCGACATTTACCACGTCACAAACTTAGTACACTCTCTCCTAACAACCTATCGTTTCAATCATCACGTTTCATATATATTTTACTTTTAACCTGAACGTGAATGCGTTTGTGTCATGTCACACAAATTCCGTTTAGCTAATAGTCGTGGTTATACTAGCCCTTTTACCCATGGGTAAATAGCGTTTGTCCACGTGCAAGGACGTTTTTGTGTGTAACCGCTTTCCTCAGACTGAAACTGTTCTAGGGTTATTTCCATGGATACATCAAAAATAACAAAAGAACTTCCCATGACAGTTCCTGAACTGAAAAGTACGGTTTATCTGCTCCTTGAGCTGACTTGGCCAATCATAAAGCAGAATGTAGCTAATACAGGAATTCGCTTGCAGTGTTTTGAGGTGACCTCCGATGCGCTTGGCTAATTTCGCGCCTTCTTCGGTGTCTTCTCGCAAAAAAATGCTAGACTGTTATATTTATGGAGGACTGTCGTATAATAAGCAGGAGAATCACTGAAGTTATGGTTAATAGATCTCGATTCGTAACATCCATGTTGCTCTGTACTTTTCCTGCTTCTTTGCCAGGTCAGTGAACTCATATCTAATTATATTTGACCCTGAAGGGAGTCTTTTATTGTGTAACCGCATCCCCAAGGGTAACCTGAAACCTGAGCCCAACCAAACCCAAGCCATTTACCCCACGTCAGGCCCCAAACCCAAGGTGTGCGTAACCACCACTAATAAATGTCTCAAAAGCGGTCAATAGACAGCTCTCTCCCCACTATTTCTTGGAAAAATTTTCCGCTACTATCCACCACAGGCAGAAAATACATAAGGGAATCCTTAATATCGTACTCATTATGAAACAACAGCACTAAGTTTGTTGTTCATTTGTGAGATTCTTGTAATAGTGCTTGGCCATGGGTTTAATAGTGTTCTGATAACAATTTTTAATTTTTAAAGGTCAGTTGGCCAGCGTGCCTACTATTGCCTATGGAAGAAAAAAGTGTGTCCTTGAGGGTAAGTAGTCAGAGAGAATCAAAGAGAGAGTGTTCGATAAGACTTTGATCTAAATGATTTAGAGTCGGAGTGGTAAAAGAGAAGAGCGAAATTAATTTTGGTAAGGGTGATTGTAATAGATAGATAAAAGGGGAGATCAGAAGAACATGTCGAGAGTGCTTGTTGCATTTCATTAAGCGTGGCGCACTCTGCAGCTAGTTTTCCCCGTTATTACAACTCAACAGATTTACACCTTGCGTGGCCTATGACACTCTTCACTCTGTAGTTTTCTGTAATCGTCAAGAGACTCCCCACTGAGCTTGTGTTTCCCCATGGGCGTGAAAACCAGACCTCAACTGTTGAGGAGAGAGAGCTCGCATTGTCCGCATGTTCCGCACGGTGATGATGTTAAAGGATGATGACAATGCTGAT